CAGAATTGACAGAAAATTAAGGACCCGTCCTTTCTATTTGTAGCGGATCCGATTCAAGGCATTCAACAAAAAGAAAATAGTATTTTAAAATAGCTTCTAATAAACCATATTAGAAGTGTCATCAATTTGACTTGAAGGAAAAAGTCATCATTTTCCTCACTTGGCCCTCTTTAACGTAAGGAGGAAAAGAGCAAGGAATATCATATAAACACAATAAAAAGAGGAATATGAACTAGATGTTTCTCAAAGAGTTTGGTGTTTGGATAGAAAAAGAATTAGGTAATTTCTTGGATTTTTTTTAAAAACGCACAAACACTTTTAGTTTGTATGTGTTTGGTCTTTGAAGGTGTCAGAAATCACTGGGCTACATTATATTATTGTGTCACGAATGTCAGATATGTTATTTAATCACTTTATTTATCATCTTACTTGTACATATGATATAATTTTTCAACAAATAGCGTCCAATTGAACACCCTGACATGAGTATAGCTACGTCCCTGCTCAAAATGGATAACAAGAGATTGGTGATCTTCATCATGTGGTCCTGGAGATTGGGCTTATGTTAGGTCCAAAATTTATTGTTTCTTTATAGTCTCACGTGAAATTATTGAAAGACTTTAAAACAATAGTAAAACTATTTATTTATGTGTTCGAATCATAAAATCAATATAAAAAAAAATCACTCCCAAAGAGGCAAGGACGGCCCCTTGATTTTTACATTTTTATAAACGCGATATACTTTAAGTGTACCAAATTGGCTGTAAAGTGGAGAATTGATAGAGATTTGAGACAAGGTCTTCTTCACAATTTACTAAATGAGTACTATACTATCAACATCGTATGTACAATAATTAGTTTGTCCAAATCAAAAATAAAAGCAAATTGGAAAAGGAGGGGGAACAAGGACTTTCATGAAAATTATCTTATTTGGAGTTAAATGAGTTTGTCGAGAGTCATGTGGTCCAATAAAACACGCGGAATATGAAGAGATATTTTAAGATTAAATTTAAAAAAATATATATAACTTAGGATAAATTTATATCTTCATATTTATCCATAAAAATAATTTCTTCCAAATGATTGTATCGTGTATTCTTTGTGAGAAAGAAAGATATATCGCCTATTTGTAAAATTTCAAAAAAAATAAATTCTTTTTTTTTAAAAAAAGGAAATATATTGTTGAGTCATTTTTCACTTGCAAGATTTTTTTTCCATCCAGAAAACCTTTTGGACAAAATATAGTTATGGTAGAAGTTAAATAAAGTGGGGAATTCAAGACAAATTTTGTAAAAATTTCCATTAAATTAAAGATTATTTTATCGTACCTCTCAGATGAAATGACTTAGCTCAAAAATTATAATCTCAAAATAATTTAATCTGCGAATTAAATAATTTTAATATATTAAATTGTTTATGTGAAAATATTAAAGGTTTTTTTTTTTGGAAAAATTAAAAGGTCATAGAGTAATATGTTTGATATTTAAAAAATATATAGATGTTTTAGACCGTTAAATATTTATAGAGATGATAGAAATGTCTAAATTAATTATTCCTACACATTTGTAAAGATGATATATAACAAGTCAATTATATAGCCTACTTTAAATTTTTTTATGAACGTAAAATACTTTGTGCATCTAATTATCGAATATCTATAGTAGGTACAATCAACTTGTCGAAATCGAACAAAAGGGGAACGGGGTTTGCTTTTCATGAAAAAGATCTTTTTGGAGTTTAATAAGTATGCCGACTAGCTAGTTTGGAGTAACAAATATATATATAATTAATTTTAAAGTAAAAGTTTGACTTAAAGAACACCCTATATATAGTAATTGTTTGTACTGTAATACATAATTTTTACGTGAATATCAATAGTAATGAAATATTTAATAAATATAAAAATAATTATATGGTTATTAATAAAAATAACGAATAATTAGTTTAGATTAATAAAGTTACGTGTTTTGTCTATTTTACAACGTATGAAATGATGTTTGTTGCACTCACTCAGAATTACAATATTGTTAGCTCTAGTGTCATTAACACTATTTGTTATTTGTTGCAACGAAGATTCAATTGACTTGTTTCGAAAGTCATGAATCTTGCTATCCTACAAACTTATGATTAGTTTTGATAAAAAAACTTACGAGTGTAAGTCACATTTCTTACAAAAATGAAATATGTTTATCAAATAATATAGTCAAACACAAAATGAAATTCAATAGAAATAATATTTACCAAAAATATTTAAAATTTATAATAGAACGCTGGCTTATTCTGCATGCTACAAATCAATCCCTAAAAGTAGATGGACAAAGTAGTTCTTTCATTTGGTTTCACAGATTTATTATAAAACGGGAGAATTATTTTTTTTTTAAAAAACGCTTTTAAATTTAACGTGAATTATTGATTTTATCCTCGAATTATTGAGAGTCTTAAAACGCACCTTTTACTTGACTAATTGAATTTAAATATACCTCTGATTTTACAATATCAGTGAAATACATCTCTAAATTCTCGTCAAATTAAGTAGTGTGATAGCTTCTCTCGACTTTTTATTAAGAGTTTAATGCTCCTATAAGAGTTTGAGACCACTTGCTATGTCATATGCTAGACACAGAGTGTGTCTAAGTTAGTTAAGTAGAAAAATATTTTAGAGCTTTCAATAATTCATAAATAAAATTAATAATTTATGTTAAGTTTAAAAATATTTTTGATAGTTCTCTTTTACAACAAAATAAGAAGATGAAACCCCACTAATTTTGAAATGAATTAGAATAATGGTTATAGTAGTTGGAAAATCAAATAGTGGTGTGTCCGGTGGAATAAAAATAAATACAGCAGAAAAACATTTATTCTTCTACCACTGTGTATCTATAGGAAAAATGAAAAGATTTGACGAACAATTTTTATTTTGTTGGAATATAATTAAGGAATTAAATGAGCTAAAGATTAAGATTAACCATACATTTCTCAAGATTAAAATAAGATTTATCATAATTATTGTTCATTGATGGTGAGCTTTTATATCAAATTGTTCATCATTTAAAATCAATCAAATTCAAGTCAATTATAAATTCTCGCCTCTTAAATTCACTCTTCAAATTTTAGTTAATAATTTTGAGCTAACAGGAGATTTTTCTTATTTAATCGTTCTTTATATTATTTTCTATAGTTTGAATCTATACTAATTATATCAACACTTAATAAGAACTTAAATTCATTTCAACCATGTTTAGAATAGAATTAAAAAGTTGTATCATGAATTTTACGAATATAAATTGAAGAAATAGGTAGGATTCATGTCAAATTTTTGAGAAAAAACAATGAATGATTAACAGGGTTTTTGAATTGACTTAAAAATTGATCAAATTTATTTTTAACTCTGTTTTTGAATTCTAAAAATGTTTGACAATATAAAAAATAAATTAAAATAAGTCAAAAATAACTTAAAATAAGTTATGAAGTGTTTGACAAAGATATAAAAATTACTTAAAGTAAATTAAAAATGACTTAAATAAGTCAGAAAACAAAAATAAATCTCTCCTATTTTTTTATTTAATTTTTTATTTTTAACTTAAAAGTTATTTTTTAAATCAATCCAAATAGGCTCGAAATCATTTTACAAACATTTGAAGACAGTGAAAAATATTGCTCACCTGTGAATGAGACAGTGTTGGCTAACAGTAGGATCCAGTAAATGCAATGTCCTGTTAATAGACAAGAGCATATTTAATGAGTTATTACTTATTTTGTCCATTTTTTGGTGGATTGGGATATGAATTACTTTTATATATATTTTTATGAAAGGAGTTTATAGATACATGTATCTGGCGTATTAATTATATATAATTATATATTTCATATATATATATGGATAAATTGAATTTAGTATGTTTAGAATATATTATATCAATAATGTGTATCTGAAATACACTGATTTTCTCATTCTCTTTCCAATTCTTTCTTCTCTCTCACTCGTATCTCTTCCTATATATATATTTTTTAATGTATATGATATCAAATATCTTATTGCCAATGGGATCAATATTAGAATTATAATAGTTTGAGTTGGGCGCGCAAAAATAAAATTACCGATAAAATAAATTGAAGATGTTATTAATTTATTGTTATTGGGTTATTAGGTTAATGAATTTTTAATGGTTTGTAAAAAAAACAATTATATCAAGTTATTGGTTTGATTTTAGTTTTTTTTTTTTAAAGTTGTTTTATTGAAAAAATTGATAACCCATTAAGATTGTAGTAATTCATTACTTTGCTCCTAGATAAATATTAATCTCCATATCGTATTGGTTATTGTCTTCGCCCTTTGGCCTTCAATTCACATTTATACTAACTTAAAGTTCACAACTTCATCTTATACAAAACGTCAAAACCTAAAGTAAGAAACTTATTCCTCTTAATTTCTTTTTGTGTTGTTGCATTTGTATAGTTCTTTTCATTTTAGTATTATTATTTCTATTTTATGAGCGTTATGTAAAGTTACATTGTTGTCTTGCCACATCAAATTGTAGGAGAAGTCATATATTTGTTTAATAATCATTTCTTATTGGTTAAATCGAAGGTCATAAAGCAAATTCGAAAAATCAATAAAAATGTCTATTAATTTAGCGTATTCAAAAATTAAAAATCGATCAATCAAATCGATAATATAAAATCGAACTGAACCGACCGATTCACCCCTCTACAACTAAATATTATTAGTAAATTTGGCATGCTACTAGTATTACAAAAAGTTGCATAACACTTTCTAATTTAGCACGAAATTTAAGGGAGTAAAGAAACTTTTGAATTTTTTGATATTAAATTAAAGATATGATAAATATATTAAAATATCGTTTAATCATATGGTTTTAATTAAACATGTCATGTTGAAATTTGAAATAAAACAAGGAAAAAGACCTTTCCTGAACAAACTAAAAAGAAAAGTAGGACAAATTAAAATGAAAAAGAGTAATATATATATACTTTGTCCACAAATTAGACCAAATGAAGAAATAAAAGGTTTGAGATTTCAACCTAGCTTTAGCTAGCATAAGAGGAACTATCTTAATATATCCAATTTTAGCGTTTCATAATCACTTTTTATTAATATGACACAGTAAGACTCGTGAATCAAGCAATCCAATTTTCAGTGTGTAACACGGAGGCCCCCAAAATCTCTTGCAATTCCGCGGCGCTACAAGGAACTTCAAGAACACCCTTTTGTTGGAATCCATATTCATTTTCAGCTTGTTTTAGTAATTTCAAGAATGATGGATTAGTGAGACAATGTAGCTCCACAATAAACCTCTTTGGCTCTTCCTCTGGATTTACTGACAATATAGCAAAGTGTCCTTCTTTAACATCATTTGGTACCACTTCATTATTTGCTCTTGGAGTTTCCATTTCAACAACATCAAATTGATCTCCATTGGAATATTTTGGAATTAATTGAAGATGTGTACTCTTGAGCTTTCTCATGATATGCTTAAGCATGACCATGCAATTGCTAATCTTTTCTTTCCCCATTAGAATTGTTGAATATGTGTATATTTTTAGTATGGTAGGATATATTTGTTTTGCTTTTAAAAAAGTGCTAATTAGGAAGGCTATTTATACAAGAAGTTGAAGGAAATCATATTGAAACTTCTAAGATGCTAACAATATTATCCCAATAGGGTGGTCCATTCCATGTGTGTGCTTGCAACTTGAAACTTTTATGTTACTCTCATTAATGTCATCTATTTTTGCATAAACTTTACGTGTGTTGAGAAGTATTGAAAACACTCACGAACTTGACGTAAATGGTTAGTTTTATTTTTAACTTATTTACAATCTTGAAAATATTCTTTTATCTGCCATATAACAAAGTAAATGGTCTCAAAAATTTATAGGAGCATGCGACTCTTAGCTAAAAGTCAAGAGAAAAAGTGTTGAAATAACCCCTAAACTTGATCAGAATTTAGGAATGTCGTTTACTCATGTTGACAAGTAAAACGATATTAATTTCTAGATACATTGTATCCAAAGTGGATGCACAAGTATCTCAAGTACATAAATAAAATCTATACAATATTACAGATACATGCAAATCAAATTAGATACATACAAATACATATATCTAGAGTCACTACATTATAAATGATCTTTAGCGGTAATTAATTATTCACAATAGCTTAATTGCCGCTAAATATGTATTTTTAGCAGCAATTAACATTCTTTGTGAATGTCCCTAAAGCCTATAACGAAATCCAATGACATTTAACTAATGTCAGTAAAAACTTTGACACTCTTTGTTAATGTGTATATTTATTGTTAGTAAAAATATTTTTATTATAGAATATGCACTCTAGTGTGATTCACATGTTTATGAAGTATATAGCATCCTCTTGCTCTCACTCGCCTCTCTTCCTATTACGGATTGTATCTCATAGTAAAAAATATATATATATATATTTAGATGTATCTAATATAAATTATAAAAAAAATAATCGAAACGCGGTACCACAATACTATAGTTGAGCAGTGAGCTGTCTCCCGTATTGTACCTTAGTCCGTACACTAAAATAAATAATTGTAGAAAAGGTCCATGTGTTGTGTTGGGAGTAGAAAACGCTATAATTTTTTTCGTTTTAATTTGTTTGTATTTTATCTGATATATAGCTTTGAGAAAAACAGAAACAAAAATTGAATCTTTTGAAGTAAAAATTTGGAATATGTGTATTAAAATTATTTTTTAACTTTGTGTTCGTAAATATATGAAATGGAAAGTTAACCTACAAAAATGGTCAAAAAAAGAAATATTCTTTTTAAATATTCTAAAAAAGTAAGCAAATAAATTTAAAGGAATAAGGCACACGTACTCCTAGACTATGATCGAAATCTCATAAATACATCTTTAACTAATATAAGGTTCTATTACTCTCATAAACTTATTGACATTATGACAAAGCAAGAGTTCTCTGATAATCTCAAATTAATACTAATATAAAAATAAGTTAGCTCACGATTAATTATAATTTAATAAATTTCTAAAGACATACAGAATCTCAACAAAATTGATAAGTCCATTGTATAATATTGCACGCTTGCAACACATTAGAGGGCCTTCTTCACAAAAGAGAGGAAAAGAACAAAGAAATATTATATATAACTAAACACTCTTCGATTAAAGGCAGAGATTAATATTTGAATATAAATTTAATCGAGTTCAATAAAATTTATTTTGATTATTGAGTTGTGTTGAGAATCACTAAATGTATCGTCAATTAGACATTGAATTTTGAAACTCAAATTACATTAAAATTTAAAGTCAGTAATTTTATAATTCAAATCCATAAACTTTGATGTTTTACTTTTCTGAATGACTCTTCCTTAACTAATGGGCCTCTTTTTCAAAACTAAAGTAATTCATCCCTTATTAAATCAAGGGAAAATTGTATATAACAACAAACTAATAACCTAAAATAAATGGAGTAGATAGGGTTTGATTTAATTATGCTCCATAGCAAACATTTGCAAAAAATTATCAGGCGTCACTCTCCTCCAATCTCTCGCTCGCTTCCTCACTTTTTATATAAACACAAGTGTATAAAAATTGTTCTAATTGTATAAAGCAGAGAGAATTGTATAAATACATATATTTCTGTTCCCCTCTCTCCCTTCTTCCAGATCTTGCTCGCCATTCCCGTCTTTCTCACTTATACAAACAGAAGCGAAATGTATAAATTGTGTTTTTGTTTGTATAAAGCGTGAAAAAATTGTATATACACATGCAATTACATATATACAATAAAAATACTATACAATAATTATACAATAAAAATACTCCCCTG